AGTGCCAGCAGAACTGATCTTGTTATGACTTCGGTGTTCGCCTGTACTCTAAAGGCAGTAATCCAAGAAGACAGGAAAAACACCAAGCACCAAAACACACCAGCGCAAAACCACCAGCACAACAACACCAACACCAACTTCCATAACACTTTAATAGACTATAACATATAAGATACTACAAACCCAATACCAGTGGCAGGGAGGTACAGGTGTGGGGATACAAACATTTAGGGTCTAGGATGGGTACGACATACACGCAGCTTCCTAGGTCCTGTGGCAACGCCCTACTTCCTATGTAAATGGGGTTTTCCCAGAAATGGGGATACCTTTGTTGGGGGTCCCCATAATACGATTATAGTATATTGGGGTCTATATTGGGGTCCAGTTATTTTGGGAAACTACCAAATAGGTAAAAACAAATATATATACATATATATGTATATATACATATGTATATATACATATATACATGTTCTGTGTGCCGAGCGTATCTCTGCCCCTTGGTGTCCAGTGCAGGGACGCTTGGCGACTTCGCGCAGAGAAAGCGGAAAAGAAGGCCAACGCCGGGAGCTTCAAATGGACTTCCATCTTGGGCATTGTATATATATATAACCCATTATAGTAGTTTCTATATGATTTTCCAGAAACCCAATATAACCCCAATATACTATAGTAGTTTTCATTTTCTTTTCCAGTATCCCCATATATCCCCTTCCAAGGGTAGGTTTGTCGCTAGGATTGTTACAGGGTTGGGATATTTCTTGGTTGGGTATACTAGCAGCATCTGCGGTTTTTGTGGGAGCTCACATATAAAGTTCCTGGACACATCCATAGTCTTACGTCAGCTCACTGTAAACTGCAGTTCCTCGCAGTTGTAGATGACCATGCTAGTCCAGCTTCTTCGCGTCAGGAGGATAGGGGCTGATTAAGGGATTGAGGGCTCAACAGAGCCTGTTTGATTGTTGCTGACTCCTCCTATTTCCCTAAGCATGCCGAACCCCGCAGCCCTAGAAATCGCACAATCCTTACTGTCCTTGACATCCGTTCACTCATCCAGCTACAATCCCCTCATTATCTGTTCACAGCTTTCGCATTGAGGAGGTTCTATGAAGCTTTCTATGCCAACGCAAATTTCTGTAGCAAATCTTAGCCTATTTTGATTGGCATATGTGCCGAGAAGGTGGAAGCACTGACAAAGTGCCGGCCGCTTCCGAAAAATGCTGCGCATGCCAGGCTTCTGGACCTCGCTTCATGGGAAGGTTGTAGTTACGGTGCAAGGGACACGGTGGGGACTTGGGTGATATGTGCGCGAATTGGCTACTGGCTAGGTTGGACTCGTCGGCAATGCTGTAGATGTAGCTACGTCTGATTCCACGTCACTTCCTTGTACGTGTGGTTGCCCTGTGTTGGCACGGACATGTGTGCATGCATGATTGCAGCTCATCTGCACTGCCAGGTTACTGCGCAGGTTGAAGAGAAACATCGCGTGAGTCGCTTGGTAGTCTCTGAGAGGTCCGGTGCTTGCCCAGTGCAAAGCAGCCACGCCTTGGACTTCTAAGGCGCGAGATGCGCGATGCGGAACAGGGGTTTGTCATCAACAAAGTTACGGAGAAACATGGGAAGACGGAGGCCGTTTGTGAGCAGCGCATTCAGATGTTTCGTGCGCCACTGCAACAGTCCCAGGGCCGGGGTGTGCAAGTGCTCTTCAGACTGATAGATGAGATTGCAAGGTGCGTCGAGTGGCCGCGCCTTTCTCAGACGGCCTTCAGTGATCAGGATTACGTTCCCTGCACTACCCATCCTGACAGGTTTGCCCGCACATGTTGGTACTGAAGTGGTGCCACGCGCATGAAGCCTTTGGCAAGGGCCCATGAAGCCGAGACAGCAGCAGTGGGTCGAGAGGCATTCTCTCAAAGCAATGTCCCAGGCTCAACATCCAAGTGGCTGGACTTGCGAACTGTCTATGCCTCAGTGGCTCCCGCCGTGTCTCCGGCTCTTTCCAGCCTAGGCTTGATGCCTCTTGCACCGTGTGCATTTGGTACAGGTCAAGAAGATTGAGTATGGGCCGAATGCGAGGGCCTGCAAGTTGTCGCCGGATGCGTGGGCCTCTGTTGCCACCAGAAAGAGCTTGACAGTCTCTCACCCTTGAAACCTGAGACGGCTCTCAAAGGGAGGTTTTCAAAAAACATGTTGTGATGCGGACCCCTATAGTCCCCACACATGTCTGGGGTCCGTTTGAACCCCCCTGCTTGAGAAACTCCCAATCGAGTTATGAGCCACCCAATACGAACCCCCACATATCGTAGATGCTTGCTATACGCACCCCGGAGATGGGACCGCCAATATTTGAAATCTTCCAAATGAGTCAATTCAGGTTTCACCGTGGCTGTGTTTCTCCCTGTTGACCGCAGAGAGGTCTTGAGCTCAGAGTTGGCTTTTAAGAGAAAGCCCAAGAACTTCGGGGGTATGTGGGGTGCTGTAGGGTTTGTATTTTAGGGTTCAGGATGTCAAATTAAGAAGAAAATGACAAGCACGCATTCAGTAGCCACTCCCGCGAGGGCATGGTGTAGAGATCTGTGAGTGCCGGACGTTTTAAAAGGTCATACGATTTCATCACATCCAATGACAGCTCCGCGCGATGCTTTGCCACTTGTCTGCAATGGATTGTCCATAGCAGAGGCATAGGAGTGAACCAAGCGCAGCGGGATGAAGTAGTTTTGAGGTTTCTCCAGTTCCATGAACCTGCTTAGTAGATGGGAACCTGCGCTGAAATCGAAATGTCCTGAGCTTCACCTCCACTCGCCTTGAATTCTACTTTCAATTGAATGGGCATTGGTGACATATCCAGGTCCTTTGCATCTCTCGACTGTGCGAAGGCGTTGCAGCCGTGACCTCACCTGGAGAGGGGGGTATTAGACTTAAGGCCCCGGGGAGAAGTGCGTTTGCGGAGTCCAGCTGGGATTGGATGCGTGGACCTTTGTGGGAAAGTCACAACCCAGTGTTTCATTGGATGGTGAATGCTGATCCAATCCACCGCCGACACCAAGCTAAATAATTGCGCCACAACGGTGAATTGCCTTGCGCTGGGGGCTGCTGAGGAAGGTGTGGTGAAGACACGGGGAGAGTTCGCCTGCGGCTCATGCGTCCATTGCCCTTCTGTTGGTTTTGTGCAATTTCATGCATAGGCTACCTAAATGAGGGTTGTTTAAAGGTGCCTTTCGCACTTGTTTTCAGAAGCTCACATGCTATTTCTTGGTGAGTTCATCTCTTCAAGGAGTCAGCCAAAGGCTGGCAGAAGCTCAAAGCAGGAGCTTCCACTGCGTTGCTTACACCCCAAACCCATATATCAGGGTTATATAGGGGTATATTAGACATATAGGGATATACGGTATACAGGGTTTAGGGTTTAGGAACTCAAATTAAGTCACTGAACATATTTCAGTTCTGCTTCAAGCTAGAGCGTGAATTTGCAGGCTGGATGCCGCACACACTTTCCTTACAGGCTTTAGTAAGTGAATATAATCCCTTATGTACTTGTATGAGCAATGCTCAATACTCGCGTATCAGGAAGGAAGAGAATGAATGCCGTGAGATTTAGGAATCGCGCCAAAAGCCCCTTAGGCGATGGGACCCCCCCCAAAAGCGGTACCCCTCAATCTTAGACGAAAGCATGACTGTGTTTTGGTTGAGCCCCCAACAGCGATACCCTTATTTTGTCCGATGCAAAAACAACCAAAAGCGATAGAACCCCCCAAGTCCTCCATGGCATCGGATTATGGAAGGAGTTTCGGCTAACGCTCACATAATCCCCATATAACATATTCCCATATTCCCTACTGTACTAAACTAGTACTCATAGGTTTCCAATCACCTAATGCTTGCAAGCCAACGCTGCTCCTAAATTTTAAATCTCAGATGAAGGTGAGAACAAAGCGATCCTACTTATTGTTGATGGAAGACATCCTGCACAGCTCTACTAATTTGGAAACGAAAGTAGTGTATATGCCATGTCTGGTGCAAGATTTTTCCCATCCGCGGTATAGCCCCACTCAAAACCACACGCAAAACCTCCACGCAGGAGTGCAGCGGCGAGGGTTGACTCTCTCCCAGGCAGGATCGATTGTTGGGTCGGCTACTCCGACCGGAGAATCACATGCAAAAGAACATGGACAATGACTTGGAAGCCACGACCGGGCTTAGGGGGTTCAGAAGAGTGCAAAATCACATGGAAAAGAGGGGCGTCAATTTTCATTTCATGCGTTGGTACATATAGCAGCTGTCTCCACATTTGATATGTTCTCTAACTGCCGGGCAGGGAGTAACTCAACTAGTGGTGGAGGTAAACTGACAGGCCCTCCTTAAGAAGTTTTTAAGTTTTTCAGACTAGGGTGCCCCTAAACAACATACGTAGACTCTGTAAAAGAGTTTAGGGTTTTGGGAGGACCCCAAACTCAACGGCTTGTTGTGACGGGATTTGTGGGAGATCTCTCTCGGCAGCTACATAGCTCAGGCCAAACGCGCCACTACATCCAAAACACCCCTTTAAGAACTGCAACTAAAGTGCAGTATAGTGCAAACTCCTTAGACGGGTTATATAGGGGGATTATGTTAGGAGAGTAAAAAAGGGGGTATTCAGGGGGATACTAGGAGTTTAGGCTATAGTTCAAGTGATTTTATGACACGCCTAGTGCCAAGGGTCATGCGCATGCCTATCCTCTCAAGACAATTAGGAACAGGATTCGCTCCTACTGCTCTCATGTTCCGGTTGCTGATGGTTTCCAATGGCTTCATCGTCAGCAGATGGGGGTTTCCGCAAATAAAAGAGTCCCTATAGCAAGAACTGAAATACTGGCATCTGTTCCGGGGCACCGTATGCATGGAAGCTACCAGATATAGTCCCCCGTAAGTAGATAGAACTTATTATAACATACCCAAAGCCGTACTCTATCTACTTAAGGGGGACTATAGGTCTTAGAGACATTGATTCAGCTGTCGTGAAGGTGTTCGTGGAGGCCCTCAACAAGCGGGCCGCTGAGTTGCCGCCCGTGGAGGAGGAAGTGCGGGCTTCAGACATGGGGTTTCCCGGTCAATCTGAAGTGCAGATATACATATCCGATCCCCACACTTTCCGTGGGGATTTTTATATCTATACATATGGTTGTTTCCAAATGTGATAAAAATGGCGCGTCGGGAATTCATGAAAGGGTGCACGTTTGACCCTTCCGATACATACCTCGATACACACCTCGATACATACCCCGATACATACCCCCACAACGTCCTTTATACACACGTGTATGTAGGATGTGTTTTGTGCCAGATTGTCAAGTAATTGGAGTATAATGTGTCGCTGATTAATTAAGGCGACCGTGAGCAGTTCTGACTACAGCTCACTCGAGTTCCAGGATCTAGTGAAGCAAATCACGGCTAGGGATTTAGGATGCAGCCCATGCGTTGGAGTAGCACGGCTTTGTGAGGTTTGCTAAAGCACCTGTTCTCAAGGCTAGCATGCAACATTCGGGGAGGGGTTCGCCAGTTTAGGTAAACGGGCAGTTCAGGTGTGCCATTCTGGTCCAGAGATCTGCACACTTCAGGACCGTCTTGCTTTTTGGCAGTGGCCACTCACTTATATGCCCGAAAGCTGCCAAACACCAGGAGCAACGAGGGCCCTCAACCAGTGCATCCCCCATAATACCCGCGTAATCCCCCTGAACTGCAAAACCCTCCCGAGCAATCAGTAGCGAACGTGAAGCTGTTCATGGTTCTGCTTAGGAAATCACCCACGATCCGGGCCTGCCACCGGATGGTTCAGTGGACTCCTCCTCCAAGCCGGAAGCCAAGATGGCACAAATGGTGTTTGCAGAAGTCACAAGTCTCGCCTGAGGAAGAGAAACAAGCAAAGTAAGCGCCACTCTTCACTCAACCTGTGCTTGCAAGGCCCTCAAACAGAGAACTTAAAGATGGTGACAACGCCGAGATGGGAACCTGCCCAATATCTGGGGGCCGCTCATTGCACCGGAAAGCGGGAGGAGGAGGGGGGTCACATAAGGAAATTCCAAATTTGCATGTGCTCTTTCCCATTGTTGGGATGTTTTCTCGCGGGTGGCATTTTGTCTGCCACTTTGCATGGCGAGAGGTTTCAGTCAGCATCCCACCCTACCAACCCTGACCTCATCCTACCTCACCACGCCCAGCCTCACCGTCGCCCTCAGGCCACCCAGCGACCCCGACCCCAATCCACGCACCTTGTGACCCGTTTCAACGCGACCATAGTGTCGGAGGTTTGTTTTGTTCGCCCGCTGAAGGTCCGTTTGGTCCGAGTTGTATTTCCTCCGCTAGGATGCCATCGCTAGGTGGAAATCGGTGCGTTACCCCACCGCCAACCACTTTTCCAACACCAGCCCGCGGTCCCGCCCCCAAGCCACAAGCAACCCACCCGCAACGCAACCTCGACCCGACTCGACCCGCCCTGCCCCGCCTTGTTGCACCACCAATGGTGGTCTTCCATGCCCTCACGCTCGCCCTCTCGCACCCTCACCATGACACTGAGGTGTCATTGTTCTAGTTTTAAGTCCGCCTTTGGCGGAAGAATCTGGAAATTGGATGCTTTCTCGTCCTGCCCTCCCCCAGACCCAAGCTTGACAAGTTCGATATTCGTCTTAAGGGCCTTTGAGATGGCCCTGACCGGACTGGATCTTCCATGCAACCCATGAGAATGACACTAGCCATTGCTTTGCAAAAGCCCATTTTGCTGAGAAGTGGAAGTGCTGCAAAGTGGCCCCCACACCATCCGTGAGTTGAACCCTGACACTCTTTGAAATGTACCTATCTTCTGCTAGTAACATCACTGCCTGCACCTGATATTTCAGGAACATCCATGTTCAGACCATGTAGCGATCTACCAATACTAATACCACTCACGGAGAATCAACTGCAAAAGAACATGAAACTTGAAATGGAAACTCGTGTTAAATAGTGGTGTTTAGATAGGGTTGTACAATATTGGTAGTGTCTGTATCCGAAAAGACTTAAAGAGGGGGACCCCAACATATCGTAATCCTTATTATAGGGCCCCCCCAACACAAAAAATGACCCTAATTTCGAGAAACCCTAAAGCCTATGAATCCCCATATACCCATATACTGCCTACATGACCTGACATATCCTTTTGTATCCATAGATTCCCTAATTCTGAGTGACCCCACTATGGCCCAGGCCCATGGATTTGTTCGACTTTTGCGAGGAGTCTCCCAGCTTCACGTTTGGGCCTCGGCAACCGTGAACCCTACCCCACACCCCTGTCTGTAGGGAGGGTGTATACATGTATGCACATAGATAGATACCTAATATAGATATGCAGAGGACTAGCAGTGGGTATGGGTTTTTGGGGTATTAAGGCCAATGTAGCTGAAGTTTTTTTGGAGGCGTTGAACAGATGAGTTGCAAGGGGAGACCACGGTTTTCAGAGCACACCCTCTGTAGAATATCTACGGGTTTTCATAAATGGGGGGCCCAGCATAGGACCCGATATACTATGAACTTACTATAGGCCAGAATCCTAGTTGCAGGGACTGCCAAGAACGGACCCTCAATTTTAGCAAACTCCCATCTTACGAAGTTTGGCGACGTATGTAATTAGTTCTGCCCGCTTGGGCCACTTGATAGGCCTACTGGTCTTCAAGAATCAGGGCCACTAGACATCCCCCAAAAATGGAGAAGCAAATGGAAACGATACTGGACAACAAAATGGAAACTGGGGTTATACAGGGATTATATAGAATTGACTCAAGACTATGAAGATCCTTACAGTAAGAATTGTAAGGATTGTCTGGCAGGTTCTGCTTTTGGGATCCCACCCTACCCCCTGCCTCCTAAGCCCTAAACCCTTACACCCTTCCCTATACCCCCTACCCCCTACCCTGTCCCAGAAATCTTCCTCAGCTTTGATCGTCGGGAACACGATAGTACAGTAATCGGGCCAGCCAGCACCCTAAACCCTAAACCCAACCCTAAACCCTAAACCGGAAAGCTTGCAGGAAGCAGGCTCCACCGATGGTCACCGTGCACTCCACAAAGTCCACCGCTCCGGAGAGCTGCGCCGTTTTTGAAAGCTTTTTGAAGATAAACTTACTTGGTCTGTAGTTTCGTAAAGGATCCGGAGAATTCTTTAAGCCTTCTTGTGGCGGTGGTGTACCAGGGAGCCATATGAGATCTTTGAAGATTGCTTTTGTGCCATAGCCAGCAAAGGATTCCTGGGCAGCTGATTCTAGAAGGGGCCCCTGAAACCCTAAACTATTTCCATGCACTACACCCTGGACCCTCAAAATCCAAACCTCAAACCATGATAGCTTCCATGTTCTTTTCCCTTCCCCTCATATACTGCAATATTATAGGGTCCCTCAGCCTTAACTCTCTTGAAGCCCTACATAACCCCCTTTAATTAAAGAGCCTTAATGTTAAGTACATTCCCCAAAACAACTAAACCCTAAACCCTAAACCCCAAAACAACCAGGAGAAGTCCTCGAGTCCAGACAGATCTTTTGCGCCGGCCTTTGCCAGGCCCATGGGGTGATAGAAGCTTATGGTCCCATTGGTTTAGGGTTTAGGGTTTAGGATTTAGGGTTTAGGGTTTAGGGTTTAGGATACTGGAAAAGAAAATGGAAACTACTCTACTATATTGGGGTTAGATATAGGAATGATTTGAGCTATAGTCTAAACTCCTTAAAGGGGTTATATAGGGGATTCTATAGGGGACTACTACATGGCTTATTAAGGGGGATACTAGGAGTTTAGACTATAACTGGTATGAGTAGTATTTTATTAGGGGGTACTATGGTACCCGTTATAGAGTAAGATTATATGCTCCTTTTGGGGTATAGTATTTTATTTAAGGAAGAGCATCTTACTAGGTTTAACCACCAAACAAAGACTATCTATATGGACTGCAGTCTAAACTCCTTAAAACGGGTGTTATATAGTGGATTGCATAAAGGGTGTAGTATAGGGGTTATCAAGGGGGATGCCGGAGTTTAGACTATAGCTCCCTTAGGGCAATGTAGGGTTGTTTTAGGGTAAAGCAATTTACAGGGATAATTAATGGAAAGGACGATGGAAAGTATATGATCATAGAATATATATATATATAGGGATTGTGTAGGGGATATATGGGGATATTACCCCCACTAATGGAGAAACATACCGAAAACATCATCGAACATGAAATGGCATCTGGGTTATAGAGGAGTGGTTTATGACATGTTTTGTGCATGTGTCAGGCTAGGGGCGCGTGGTTCATGCGAGGATGGAAAGGTGTAGCGAAGGTGTGTTGTTTAGCATAAACGTTTACAACTACATTGATGCCTGCACATACTTGTTGTATGGTGCTGTATTTAGCTTGCTTTCTTAGCTTGCTACTGTTTCTACAAACTCGTCAGAACAGTACGCTTGCTCTTTGTTGGTTGTTTTTTCTGATTCTGGGCTTAGTGGAGGGAGTTCTTCCCAAGCAAAGTGAAGATATTCGCAGCTAGGGTTAGACAGCGACCTGGCATTTGAGATCCGAGTCTAAGTGATGTAGGGCTTGGATATTGGTTTGGCTGTAATGAGGAGAAAGAGACGAAAGGCTCTGTAAAGACTCCAGTCCCCCAGATCAACGGTGAAATTAAGGTATGGCACATTGACAACAATCCTGAAACTAGTCCTAAACCCTATATATCCCCTAGAAACCCTTGGAGTGTACCCCTATGTCTGGAAAGTCCCAAGGAGCCACACCTTGCCTAAGGACCCTCAGCAACTGGATAACGACCCCCTCCTCTTCGGCTGGCATCAAAGGCTGGATGCTTTTGGGGTGTAGGGCTTAGGGGTTTAGGCGATGTAGGTTTCAGGGTTGTGGGGTTTACTGGGGCGCTGTTAAGGAACTTAAATTAAGTTACTAGAATGGGTATATATAGTAAATAATAGGGTTTCCCCAATATAGTAACTTACTTTAAGTTCCTCAACAGCAACCCAGTTTAGGGGTTTAGGGTTCAGGGTTCGGCTCTTACAAGGCCGACCCCCCGCTCAGGAGAAGGAGCATTGACATGTGAGCTATAGTCAACACTCCTTAGAAGGGGTTATACAGGGGATTATATAGGGGATTATTCTAGGGGTTATTAAAGGGGATACTAGGAGTTTTGACTACAGCTCATGTGGATCTTGGCTTATGACTGGGTCATTATTGGACACGTTTTGTGGCTTCTCTCTTGTCGAATCCTGGTCAGGAACGAGATGTTATGGTCTTTAATCATATCCCAAAAGGGAACCACACAAGATGGCTAGAAACAGGACAAAGTCATCGGCAGTCATCGGAGCCATTCCTGAGGCTCTGAATGTCATCATGGCAAAATTCTACATCTCAAACCATTAACCTCCCCCAGACAACCATCAAACCCGCAACATGTGCCCTGTAACTGTTTCTTGGGGTGAATGAAGAATATTCAAGGAGCCTTCTGTCCATGCGTTGTTCCCGCGTTTAGACTTGACAGTACATCCTGAACCCTCACCCCACCTCAAAGAATCAAACCTGAAACTCCAAACTTTACCCTATGCCTCTGAGAGAAGAACAAGCTCTGCCTTAAACTTCACCAGAAAAAGAGAGACTTCAGTGAATCCCAAATCCTACACTTTCACATGGCGAACGAGGCTTGCCAAAGGCTGGCGAGACCTGGGCTCAGCCCTCAAAGCGAGAGACTATTGACCTTCATGAGGAAAATTGAAGATGCAGTGGATAAATTGCAAGGATCTAGGGTCCAGGGTTTGGGGCTTAGGGAAGCTAACATGGAAGTTGAGGCGTCGGGGAAAAATGTTACTATCCTTGTTAAACAGGTCTTCCATACCGCTACTGGGGGCTGCTGTCCTCCCCTTTCGGGTACTCTGAATATCAGGCCGTATTGCTTGTACGATGCGGACCTCAAAAGGGACCATGATTTCTACAACCTACCATATGCGTTGGCATGTTAGTTGCGGGCTGCGATGATGGAACGACAACGGGTTTAGCGGCTTTGGCAAACGCAGTTAAGTCATTGAGCAAGATCGGTAGCAGTACTGTACCAATGTCAATGCTGTATATATATATATACATACTAAACTCCTAGAATCCCCCTCAATAACCCCTATACTACTCCGCTATATAACTCTCCTATATCTCCCCGTAGAGTATCCACGAGCTGCCGCGTTGTCTGTTCCGCAGTGTCTCCAATTGAGCTTGCTGCCTGCTGCGCTGGTTAGAGTAGACTTGCTAGAGAAGGTGAATAGCATGCAGTGATGATATGTATGATCTGATATGATATGGCATGAGCAATTTTCTGGTGATGATCTGCCTTGTGGGGAAACCCCAGCAATGAAGTTTAAATCAAAGCTCGAGTGATCTACTGCTGAGGTCTTTACGGGGGCTGTGGACCGTGTCGACCTGTATCGAGACCCTGCTGGAACAGAATGGGTCAACGAGATGAAGCTTGTGCATGTTTAGGGCTTAGGAGCCAGGCTGATCCGTTCATCTGAGCCATAGTCTAGGACTCCCTAAAGAGGGGAGGGGATGTTATAGGGGACTACTATAGGGGTTACTAAGGGGGATATTAGGAGTTTAGACTATAGCTCATGTGGGCTTGTTCTTTCACCCTAGGGATGCACTCAGATAATGAGGGCATGATTTGGGCCCCAGTGGGACAGTTTGCGAATCTCCCATATGTTGCTTCTGCTAGATATGGTCACGACCTCATCGGCTTGCCTACTTCATGGAAGGGCAGGCACCCGGGTGGCAGAATTCCCGCTCCTCGCTACAAGGAACGTCTTGGGGGGTGTCCGTTAAGGCCCCTCAAGAACAAGGGTCCAGGCTTCAAAAAGATGCAGCGCATGCCATCTTAGTTGATGCGCAAATCTGGTGTGCACGGAGAAGCTTTTGTCAGTGCTATCTATAGGCTCATGCTGTGTTGTTTTTGTGTGGAATACACCTCCCGCCAAGATAGTGGAAGCAAGGCCTACGGGCTTGGACTAGGTAAGTCAAAGCTTGTCTGGATTTTGGATGTGTTGCTTTGGTTCTCCGATCCCTCGTGCAACTATGAACAGCGAGCCCTGACACACACCCTTTGACGTTAGAACCCCAAAACTCATGCGAATGCTGAGACCTCCACCACTGGGAACGGACTACCCCTTTCTTCAAGGGTTGGACAAAGCCGCAGATGCTGCTTCAGCCCATGAAGCCTGGAGCAGCCTTTGTATTGGTTTCGCAAAATTCGGGTACCTTTTTGAGAGTCCCCTTCAATAAGGATCATAGTATTTTGGGGTCTTTAGTGGGGTTCCCCTATTTTGGGAAGCTACCAAATTTTCAGCGCTTACATGCACATGCAGTTGTGTCACGGCATGAGCTGACTGGTCCCACATGGCATGGCCAGGACATGCCGAGGTCCAAACAATGACCGCCGAGTCCTGCCCTCGGCCCTGATGGAAGGATAGCTTCTGGCAAGGCAAGCATGGGGATTAAGGGAATGTAATCCCTACATATTATCCGAGTGGAGAAGCACATGGAAAAGAAATTGAAGATGAAATGGAAACTACTGAATTTAGGGGTTATATGGGGGCATACTGGGGAATAGAAGTCAAAGTGCCGGACAGTTTGCCTTCTTGACCCACCAAGATGGTTACGATTGTCTCGATGCTCCAACAAGAGCAGATGGTGGAGATTAGGCGTGCCCCTAGACTTCCAGTGCTGGGGGCAAAAATTTCACATATTACACCAATACAACCCCAATGTAACCCCAATATAACCCCAATATAAGCCTATATAACCCCAATATAATTGTGAACATCTTCCCTTGGGAGCTCAGGAGATGGTAAGAGATGTAGCCGGAAACATGGCAAGACTGGCCACTCCAATTGCCGTCGGTAGAGAATCTTAAGGCAAAGTTGTGAGAAGACACATGGAATTCCTTAGATTAGGGACTCCTCCTTGGGGGCGTCAGGGTGTATATCAGGGGAGGTCTACCTGTTCGAAGGTCGCAGGTAAGTATGTGATATTTTGATGCGTGCGCATCATTCCTGAATAAAGCTCCCTGGCTGCGCAGGGGCACAGACAAGCTGAAGTTCGTCAAGGGCTGGCCTTCCCAGCCGCAATTGCTGATCTACTGAGTGAGTACTTTGTGGGACCCTGGGAGCACCAAAAGGTTAGATAACCTACTGATAAGGGGTTGCAGTAGGGGTATAGTGGGCTTGCTAAGTGGATATAAAATGGTACCTAACTCCAGGGTCCCTGAAAACAAGTAAAGCCGCACAGATGCTTGGATGGCAGGGCTCGCCTCATCGATGAGAATGGTGCTTGGGTAATAGAGCAGGCAGGGTCCAGCAATAATGCTCAGCGCACCCATTATCATGACCTGCGGATGCCAAACTGGATGCAGGCGCCCAAGTGAGCTGGACTGTTGATCTACGTGTGTGCCAAAACGTTGCTGCTGCTTGCTTCTCAGCCTGGTTGGCGGTTGCCCCAGAATCTACCCAACAACATTGACGATAGCAACGCTGTTGTATGCTTTTGTAACGGAAGAAAGCCACGAAAGCGAGCAGCTTTGGCGTGCTGCAGCGCTGCAAGATGTCAGTTGCCAGAAGGCGTTTCCATCAAAGTAGATGATGGACAAGTTTCACAGGTGCTTGGTTGCAGCACCGGTCTCGCATCGATTCAAAAAGGCGTGCTGCGGCCACTCGTCAAAACCGGTGCGCGGAGTTTGGGATGCAAGCAACTACATTGACATGAGTTTGGTATTTCCGCGCAATGTCGTCGTTTGGCCTTTGGCATTTTGGCTTGCTTTCCTGGCGGCGGGTAGCAGCAGGCGTGGGAAGTGTGCACATCCTGGGCTGCTTGACTGCTGCTGCGGCATTGCATGCTTTGCTTGAGAAGCATTGGGAAGCAGAAATCCTTGCCCTTTCGCAGGCAACCCATATGGCTCGCCCGGGCATGCTCGGATTGAGCGCCGTGCGCTTGCACGACGGTGCTGCCAGATCCCTTGAGACTCTGCGCTCTTCCCGCCCTGCGGTTTCCAAGCCGCAAGGCATGGACAACCTCGTCACCGCAAAGTAGACGTCAAAGGGGATTTAATGGGGCATTCTATGGGGGGGACGATTATAGGGGTCATTGAGGGCGATGCTCTTTTAAGCAAGGACATGCACAGATGATTTCCTGGGGAGGTCTTAGCTTTTCCAGCTCGGCTGCTGCGGTCGTGTCTGCGGTCACCGCGTCGTCCTCAACCGAAAGGGGGGCACGAGGTGCAACATTACTCTGATCGCCTTTGCAACTATGACAATAATTACTCGCGTTTGTGTGAACATTGTTATTGTCCTCGCCACCATTGAAGGTCATGCAGTTAGTTGGTGCGGCCATGGTGCTGGTGATAGTAGCTGTCGTAGAAGTAGAAGCAGTCGCAGGAGGAGTAGTAGCGATTAGTAGCGCTACCACGTCTTCAGCGCCATTACGTCATTGTACCAGTACCTTCTATTAATGTTTTGTTGCACAAAGACATAGGTTGCTGAGGCCTTTTCTGCTGCCCGGGGCACAGCCCTCCGCAGTGGACTGCGGGCGCGGCACGTCGCCATGAAGGGGCAGACCATTGAGGCTCGGGTTCAGGGCTTCAAATCTGAGGTTCAAGATGCAGCGTTGTAGTGACAGGGCTTTAGGAGGTTGGGGTTCTGTGTAAGAAGCTTGAGGGAGAGGGGTTTTGGTAATGTAGGGTTTGGAGATGTTTGGAGGTTGGGAGTTTCAGCCTCGTCGGGGCATATGGGACCTGAAACAGTACTGAAACTGAAATCAGGAGTAGGAGCAGATTGCGTATGGGTAGTCATACTTCTACACTCCATGCAGCCTCCTATGACGGTTGAGTAGTATTTCATTTGGGGATATTATGGTACCCATTATAGAGTAAGATTATATCCTCCTTTTGGGGTATAGTTTTTTATAGAAGGACTATTACATTACTACCCATTTAGATTTGAAATGCAAACCGCCCTCACCTACTCATACCCCCCGAGACGATAGCATCCATTCCACATTATGAGCATATGTCAAAGTGCTCCACGTTTTCAAACCACTGTAAATGAACAGGCGAATGCCTACTTGAAGGCAAAGGTCGAGGACTGCGTTGATCAAGCATGCCGTGACTGCTGCTCCACTTGGGGTGGGTGCTTTTGGCATTCAGCAAGAATGTTTAGGAGGTTCTTAAACCTCGCGCCACATTTGCTAAGGACTACATTCTCGTGGACTTGCACAGGAAACCTGATAAAACTCTGTTCAAGAAAAGCACATTCATCGGAGAGGTGCATCCGCATTTTTTACGACAGTCACACCACGATATCATGCCTCTATGCTGTGGATGGCGTCCTATAGATGGTCGTGGTTCGGGAACGACAAGGCCGCGTGATTAATGAGGCTGGAGTCATCCCTACCTTCAGATGTCAGGTGGAAGCCCTCCCCAACAGCTCTCCCGTTTCCAATGGTGTGAAGCACTCCGCATCCTGGATATTTCGTCTGAGGGGCTCCCACATCAAATTCCAGACACTGTCTGCAGAAAGGTGTGGAAGCTCTTAGCTCGCGAGATTCAGCCTTTCAGCGGAAAATGGTTTCTAATTACACGCGACTTGTCACCTTGCAATTGCAACATGCTTCCCCAAAAGCGTGCACTATACTTTTCGAGGTGGGCTTGTAGTCTTCAGATGGCCTTGACTGCCCAAAATGAGCGCAGTTTTTGGAATTGTGGTTTCAAGTCGAGTGCGAGCTTGTGCTTTGCAAGCTGCCGTTATCAGAAATCTATAAACACAACTTCGGTAATTCCCCTTAACAGTGATTATTACCATAACAAGCAGCCGGAGTCATAATAGCCCTTAATGAAACCCCTTTGAGGACAGTTACTGTAAGGGAGAGTGACCTAAACAGACTTAAACACAAAACAAGCAACATCTGGAAAAAATGATGGTTTGGGATGGGGTTTCCAAAGCTAGGGCATTAGGTGCACCTTTCTGGGCCACTGGGGTCCCCATAATAAGAAGTGACACAAGTGTGGGCAGACTTGCATGCTTCTCTGGAAGCCAGTTGTAGACTGCTTCGCGCCACCTCGCTGTGGCTAGGGCTCGGGGCGCTTCGAAGTAGAAGCACCACTTCGCATTTTTGTTACGCAGTAATTTGTCTTCTGCTGACTCTTGACTGGATCTAGTGGAGGATCCTAGTGGCTCTTCCATTTGCAGGGCACACCCGAGATAGGTGTCATGGTTCTGACTTTGCAGAATTTGTTCCGCCAGGAGATGGTGGCCCTTCAGCCTGTGATGGTCTTCTCCAAGTCCTGGTGTCCCTTTTGCAAGAAGGCCAAGGCCGGCAAGTGCGTCCGAAGTTTGATTCTATTGTTTCCAGATGGGAGGTTGTCAACATAATGGTCCCTTTTGGGTCCGCAACATTAACCACACGGCCCATAATGGCCCGCAGATTTTGGGTACCCAGAAAGAGACCATGACTTTGACAACCTTCCATGTGGGCTTCTGTAAGTTTTGTTGGTTGGGCAAGCAAGCACAGCGACCCTAGCCCTACACCGCATGAAGCCTATATGAACCCTAATGACAAGAAAAAGGATGGCAGGCTTTGCTTTATTCCTGGAACACTGCCAAAACACGCAGCTGATGGCGGCCTTCAACTTGCTGCAACTAACTTTGTATTGTAATATATCTGATACATTATTATATATTATAATATACTATAATATACTATAATATAAGACAAGATAGTATGCGCTGCGGATGCTTTATCACTTCTCGGCTTCTTGTCACGACAGCTTTCGGTACGGTTCTAGCTATCGGCTATCGGGGCTTTGCATCTGCAAAAATCCTTGTGAAAATGGGAACTACTACAGTATATTGGGGTTATATTGGGATTATTTAATATAGGGATAATGGAAAAGAACATGGAAACTACTGTAGTATATTGGGGCACATGGCCCTGCAGATAGTAGCATAGTGCAGCGTCTTGGGAAGGATGCCATGAAACAGCAGGGCATCCGCTTTGGTGTTTGCAGCCCGGCCGCGCTTCAGAGCGCTGCTTTCCACATTATGACATAGCACCTATCTGCAGAGAACATGGTCATTCTCGTTGGGAGCCCAGGTGAGCTGGACAACCTTGGTGAAGAAGTCGAGGCAGAGGCAGTGCAGCAAGTGAGCAGGGACACTGCGCAGCTTGATGCAAGTGGAAGATGCGAACCCCCCTGCGGCAGATCCAAGATATCTTGGCCGGGATCACTGGAGCACGGACCGTGCCGCGTGTCTTTGTGGGCGGCAAGTGCATCGGAGGAGGCCGTCCAGTAGTCCTGGATTCTGGATTAGATGATTAGATCGTTTGAGGGCAGGCTGAGAGCGGAATCATGCACGATTGTTGTTCTGCATGCACTGCGCGGATAACAAGTTTTGATTTGGTAAGCCTCCCGCACACGACTTTGCACGAGGCACAGATACCGAGAAGCTCGCCGAAGACGGCTCCCTGAAGAAAATGGTAGGCACAACCTGCCTGCTGCATCTCCAGTTTTTGCACATGAGCTATAGTCTAAACTCCTAGTATCCCGCTTAATTATGAGCCCTATGGTACTCCCTGTCTAATCCCCTTTATAACCCCCTTGAAGGAGTTTTGGCTAGAGCTCACATGACGTCCCGCTGCAGATCCCCGAAACCTACAAAACTCCTCAGGTAAGCCCCATAGCAGAAAAGATGCTAACATTCCTAACAATCTCAAAGGTACAATCCGGAATCAATTGGTTTTTTTGGATGTCCTTGGTCCTGGCTCTAAACCACCCAAAAAGCTGTGGTTTCCATTGTCTTTTCCATTCCCGCATTTACAACCCTCAACCCTACACCCCTGACCCTAAACCCCCAGCCCTAAACCCCCAACCCTAAACCCCTAACCCTAAACCCCCAACCCCCAGCCCTAAACCCCCTAAGCCCCTAACCCTAAACCCCCCACACCCTCTAACCTTAAAACCCGTAACTCTAAACCCCCTAAACCCACAACCCGAAACCCCTGAAACCCTTAACCCTAAACCCCTAACTCTAAACGCCCTTACCTCCTAACCCCCCCTGTTGCACAGCCTCCTTTGCTCCTTGCAGGTGAAGCGATGGAGGCCTACAAGAGCAAGGTGACCGGGGCAAACTCTTTCCAACTCGAGAAGAGTGATGAGGAGCGTAGGGTTGAGGGTTTGAGGTTCAGGGTTAGCTCCTACACGCCTTACCCTAAGCAGGAAATATGGGAATGTAGTATATGATAGGGATTATCTGGGTTTAGGGTGTAGGGTTTCCACTATTGGAAAGGGCCTCGGGGCCCAACCCAATCAGGTTATGTGTTCAAAGATGGCCAGCATGATTGCTTTCCTTGTCAGGCGCATTACACTCACTGGGCTCATTAGACGCTCCACTTTCATGCAGCCACCCCCCCAAAGATCTACTATGAGGAATGGATGTCCTCCTTGGATGCGCAGAAGTTCCGCATCCTGCGCCGGCGAGGCAAGGGTGAGCTGTGACGTTATGGCAAAGAGAGCACCTTTGTCATAGCTTTATACCCTTTGTCAAATGATTTGTGGATTCCTTCTTGGGGGGTCAGAAGGTCAACATCCTATGATATCTGAGATGAGCAGGGAGTCAGGAATACCACCCAACTTCACATGAAATTCCTGTTGGCTTACGGGTTCTTAGTAGGGAATAAGGGAAGAAAATCCTCATATGGTCCCTGTATTCTATATTCTCTTATTCCCTACTAAGAACCAGCAAGTTGGCGAGTCTTTTGCGAGAACCCGGTCCAGGCCAGGTTCTATGTTCCTCAGGATCCCTCGCCAGCCGGACATCTGGTCCAGGTTGAAGCCGCAAAGGATCACCGCTAGATTGCTTACTGGTGGTTAGTGAGGAATATAATCCCTATAAATTCCCATATAGTATATTCCCTCAGTAAGATTGACAAGCGAATCCCACTGATCTTGATCAAATCTGAAGAACCAACCGCTAATCGCAGTTCTGAGCGCACAGCGGGCAAGCCTGATGCATGACATCACCTCGGGTGCGCAGGCACTGAACCTCCTGGTTCACACGAGTACGACAAGTTCTTGCCAAAGGTGCCTCTGAGCAAGTTGACTTTCAGAAGCTGTTGAGGTTGCGCTGCCAATTTGAAGGAGGCACCTCACAGTTTTTGGCCATACCAAAGGGTCCATCCAGCATTCCTCGCAGCACCTTACATACACACGGCTCCGTACCGAGTGCCTAGGAAGCCAGTGCTGAGGCCGGCCACTTCTCCTGCGCCGGATGTGGGCTTCCGCTGTACTCTGCATCCTCGAAATTTGCAGCCTGGCTGACCATCATGCAAGAATCTTGATGGCGGTCTCTTGCCCACTGTATGAAATTGGGTGCGCTTGAGGCATCAAACTGCGGGTGGCCCGTTTTTGACAAGTGCCCGGACCTCATCTTACCAAATCTTGCGCATCCGGAGTTCAGGTAGTGCCCTTGTCTTACTGCCTTTTCTAGATCAGGCGCATGCACTCCCAGGCATTAATTTTTCAGCGCAAGCTGGTACTGTTGTTGACTGTAACTTCCACAGATACATATTCCACGCCATCACATATTATTGCATGTTCCTGCAATTCCTGCAGCCTGCTCCGCGGATTAAGGCTACGCCTCCGAGGACATGGGCCAGCATGTGATGGGCCAGCCAGATGGGACTGGCGCCTTGGAGATCGTGTGCACGCGCTGCGGCTCCCACCTGGGGCACGTCTTCTACGACAGCGTCACGGAGGCCTTTGAGCAGACAAGATGTTGAGTCGGATCATAAGTCTTAATCTAAGGTGATCTCAACATAAGACTGAAGACCAGCCTCTTCAAGTTGCCCAAATTGCGGCTTGGGGCCCCCAATCGCAAAGTATCCCTATACTGAGCTGTTCTAAACTAATCCGAAATCCTTACCCGGATTGCCGGATCCGGTTTGCGGATTGGCAGGTGTAGGGATTGGAAGAATTGTATTACTGTCGTAGGTTGGGGCCAAATAATGTAACATAGCAAAACGGATTGAAGCGGATTACACAATGCTTCCGGATGATTGAATGTGTCGGATTGTTTCTCCGGATCGGTAAGGCCACTAAATTTTTGAACAGACCGGCTGTACTGTCATGGCTGACCATTGTTGTGACATGTTTTCTCCGGAAGGCGAACCCCAATGGGGAGCGACACTGAGCCAACGGGCTCTCCCTGACCTACTTGGAGGGAGAGCCCGAGCTGAAGGACCCTACTCGGGCGATTAAGGGGGACCTAATGGTAATAGTAGTAGTATTGGTAATAGTAATAGGGTTTCTGTTTCAGGTCCATCGTTCCAAAGAGACATTTTTCTAGCTCAGCAGAAAATGGGGGGCCTCTAAATTCAAGAAGCATCCATATGAGGTGCGCAGGCCGCATTAGCGGTACTGTTCCCTTGACGAGTTGATCCTAGATTGAGAACATTGCTCTTGCGGCTGTTAGGCTCAAGAACATACATAGGAGTTTCTCAAAATTATCCTTCAAAAGCCTTGAATGCCATCCCGTTCTGTAAAGCCACTCTACATAGCTGTACAATTTTGACATGGGTGCACGCTGTGCATTCTGCGAAGGCCATGTATCCCCAAGGTCCCTAAGTGCCCCCCAGCCCTTTTCGCGAAAACTTCACATCAGCAAACAAAGTGTGCATTTGCGCAGGATCTGACGGAAGAGAAGATGAGCATCCTCCCACAGTAGATGCCATCCGCACATGGTGCAACTCCAGACCTCCGGAGAGATCCAGGACATCTAGCCTAACACTTTCATGCTGCTAAATTCAGAAAAGTGGTGATCCCATCCCCTAAACGGATTTTTTCGGAGGTCTCAGTCCGTTGAGGACACAGAAGCTGCTGCGTCATGTACAGTTAGGTGAGATGTATGCAGGACTGAAATGGGTATGCGCCAACATTCTAGTCCCAACATACCCCACACATGGTGGGATCTTTGGACTTCAAGGGCTAACTCTGACAAACAGTGGGAAGTACTACCAGCATGCTCTCCGTCGGATAGCTTGCTGGCACATATTCAAGTGAAAACGTTTTAAGTTGACAAGCCTGCAGCAGAAATGCGTGGGACATGCGGATGAAGCACCTCGGATTTGCAGCCCCAAGTGCCGTCAACTTTAAGATTGAAGTACTCATGTACGTTAGCTATGCCAGTCTTTGTAATAGCATCAACAGTAAGCTGCAGAAATAATGACGAACCCCACGACTGCCTTCGCCGCCGCCAGCGCCACTGCCACTGCCAGCGAGAGCGCCAGCACCAGCACCAGCAGTGGCAGCAGCAGTAGGAGCAGCAGCAGCAGCAGCAGCAGCAGCGTGAGGACGTTCTTGCTCTTACTACATTTATTGCTGTTACTATTACTTTTATCGTGACTATTAGCATTACCATTACAGGTACCAGCACTTGACCTACAAGTATTTGCGCTGGAATTCTGACATGTCTCATAGCTCTTCTGGTACTACATGTGCTGCCGCAACCACTGTCACCGCCGCCACCGCGACCACCGCTGTCGCCACTGCCATCGCCACCGCCACTACCACAACTAGTCATGGTGGTAGTAGCTGGGGTGGCCGAAGAAGATGCTGCCACTACTGCGGCTTCCACATTATCTACTAGTAGTAGTAGTAGTAGTAGCAGTAGCAGTAGCAGTAGCAGTAGCAGCAGCAGCAGCCGCCGCAGCAGCCGCGGCAGCCGCAGTAGTAGTAGTAGTAGTCGTCGTCGTCGTCGTCGTCGTCGGCGGCAAGCGGCGGGGAAAAAAACACCCCGAACACGACACGCACGTGCTGCAGGGTCTGAAAGTCCTGGGCCCGTCTTTTTTCTGACCCCC